TTTAACATTTAATTCCGCTACGATGTTGATGGGGTGGGGGATTTGGGCCTCCGGTCACCTGCACTGACCAGACGAAACGCGGAAGCAGAGCTGCCACTTCACGCCGGTATTCTGTGAGGTCGTGGTACCACCCCGGTTTGAGCCGGCCCATACGTGCAACAGAAAAGCTGCCGCGTGGCTCTATCACTGTTAAATACTGACCTCTGCGTCTTCCCACGGTCGACGACTACGGGAACGTCGTGCCCGGACCACATATCAGCTAAGTGCAGCTAATGGTTCATGTATTAACACTTATGCTTATGTGTATTTAAATTTACACTGTTGAATTTTCGTGGCGTTTTGTAGTTGCAGATGTAAGTAAAGCTATTATAGGTGTAGATTTGTTAAATCACTATAATATTATTGTAGATTGTTGAAATAAATGTATAGTTGATAACACCACATCTGTAACAGCCACTGTCTCACGGGTTAAATTTAACTGGTGAGACAAAATACCATAAAATTTTGGCAGAACTTCCCGAGATCACGCGACCAGCAGGCATGCACAGCACCAGGCCACACAACACAGTACACTTAGACTTAAAATAGCTCGACAGGAATTTCAGTCTATGCTCAATAACGGAATAGCCAGACCATTGGAAAGGCCTCGGTCTTCGTCACCACATTTAGTCCCTAAAAAAGATAATGGCTGGCGTCCCTGTGGAGACTATAGGAACTGAACGCCTGAACGCCCGTACGATACCCGATAGGTATCTAATCAAGCATATTCAGGACTTCGCACACAGTATTTCAGGATGTAACATCTTTAGTACGCTAGACCTTGTCAAGGCTTATTACCAAATACTGGTTCATCCTGAAGACATCCCAAAAACCGCAGTAACAACACCTTTCGGTCTGTTTGAATCTGCGTTCATGAATTTGGGATTAAAAAACGCGAGTCAAGCGTTCCAGAGGTTCGCGGACGAAATGACTAGAGGGTTAGACTTTTGTTATTGCTACGCGACGATTTCTTAATATTTTCAAAGGACGAGGCTCAACATAAATTACATTTGCGAAAAATATTTAGCATACTGAAGGAATATGGCATGTTAATAAACACGTCTAAGTGCGTTTTCGGTGCCCGAAAAATATATTTTCTAGGATATAGCATCTCGGCGTCAGGCATCAAAACACTTGACTCAAAAATTTAAGCAATTAAAAAATTTCCATTGCCTACCAACGTACGTCAGTAAGTTTAAGGTACATTTTTGCCACGTGCGGCAGAAAAGCAAGCTCCGCTTAACGATTTATTCAAAGGCAAATAATCAACCAATTACCTTATCAGGCGAATCTTTAAAAGGTTTCGAGGCCTGCAAAGAAAGTCTTTCTGACGAATAACTGTTCAGATGGGTGCACCCATTGGTCACTTATTCCGATTAAAAAGCATAACATACTAAAACATAAATATTTGTGGCAACAGGTGTCTGCCCCTGACTGTTTGCGTATACTGTCTATATCCCGGGGAAACAAATGATCTTAACTTAACCTCTCTCTGTATGAAACAAAATTATTTCCGGTTTAATAACCGTTTCTATCTACAAAAAGAAGGGTTAGCTATGGGGTCCCCTCTAAGTCCACTTATGGTGGACATTTTCATGGATAATTTCGAAAAACAACATATAGTTGTTAACCAAAATATCTTATACTATTATCGATATGTAGACGACATAATTATTTGCTGGACTGGCACAAGGAGACAACTGGATGTTTTCCTTAATAAAATGAATAGAGTCCACGAAAAAATTAAATTTAAGCTTGAATTGGAACAAGATTGCTCCCTTAATTTCCTTGACTTAACAATATTAAGAAAAGAGTCGTTGCAAGTTTTTCAAATTTATCGAAAGCCAACTCATACCGACATGGTCATCCCCGCGTCATCGTGTCATCCATGGCAACATAAATTAGCCGCCTTTTAATTGTTACCTTAACCGTCTGTTCACTGTTCCATTAAGTAAAGAAAATTATTTAAAAGAACTTAATATAATTTATCAATTTGCAGTATCTAACGGTTTTTCAAAAAATGTCATTAATAGTCTTATTAAAAAGAAACCAAAGCATGTTGTTCGCAATTCTTTGTACGTGGTTCGATCTCAAAGTGTCCGGCGATATGTGAGCAGTTTGACCTACTTAGGCTCCATATCGGAAAAAATTGCTAATACTCTTAGAAAAAACGGCGTTAACGTGGCATTCAAAACAAACAATTCGCTTAGGAATATTTGTGATAATAAAGATAATTTGAGTACAAAAATCGAGTGTTTATAAACTTGTTTGTGACGAATGCCACGCCGTTTACGTTGGTCAGACTGGTCGCAGTTTCGGGACGCTATGATTTAGCATTTGGCCGCGTACAGAAATTGCAATCCTGATAAATCCCATTTTGCTAAACATCTCTTAGACACTGGACACAACCTAGCCAGCGACCATTCCTTTGAAATCTTACATACTTGTAATAAGGGGCTGCGACTGTGTGTGCTGGAACAGTTGGATTTTAAAAAAATAATAATGATAGCAATGCATGAATGAATGAATGAATGAATGAATGAATGAATACTTTATTGTACACCACAAACAAATTTACAAAGAACATAACAGAGAGCAGATTACATATACAATTTGGCGGCCTTATCGCTACATAGCGATCTCTTCCAGGCAACCAAAATGCACTGCTGAATGAACAAACAAATGTTTATAATTCACCTTTGTTAAACATCTTTAAGGCTAATCTTTAACAATAATTTTAAAATTAATAATAATAAATAACTATAATAATATCAATAAAAATATTTAAAAAATTAATAATGATAATTAGTCGCAGGTTTGTTATCGCACGGCGCGGTCGCTCGCTACTTGGTGGAGAGCGGTTGTGTCGGCGTATATAAATAGCAGCTGTTTCGGCTCACTGCTCACTTAGCGGTCAGCCGCCGTAGAGTCTACATTACCAGAGGATGCCTCGTATAGAGGCGAAACACGTGTCGTATTATCGACAATGGTGTGTCTTTCCTGGAGTAGTGGTGCTGGGATTAGTGGTAACGGGTGGTGAGTGACGGTGTCTTCAATCCAGGTAAGACACATCATTGTATTTAGTAAGCGAAAGGTTGCAAATTAATTTATTATAACTATTCGAAGGTATAAAATTCCGTATGTTCAAAGTTGCGAACGATGATTATAACATTTTATGTTGCCAAAAAATAAATACGTATTCGAAACAAAATATGTCAAAGTTAGATAACGTCTAAATTTTTAAAGTTAGAAGGTTTACGAGTATATAGCAGAAATAACTCAATCCCAAAAATTTTAACTACGAATCAACAAACAGGCGAATAGTCTTTCAGCCGAAAATACTTTAACTTCAGAAGTACGATTGTCTTCTATTGGTAAATCCATTTTCGATGTAAAATTGTAGTTATTTTTATTGTGATTATTCATTAAGATAGGTTTACAAATATTGAAAATGGATTGAAATTGTTTTATTCATTTTCTTATTAATAATTATATTGTTTGAGCTTTAACTTAATGAATAGCTAAAGTACAGTCTTATATATAAGTTAATAGTTATTTTGTAATGGTTATTATTTTATCGGCTTACGGTACTTTGTATTTCGTTACAATAATTTTTCTGAAATATTGATTTTTATGTATGAACGGTTGTTCACCTGTTTGTATTTCGGTATAGTTTCGTAGATGTAGGTATTCAGAAAATGCGATAATACTGAAGTTAACATACGGAACTACCATAAAAAATTAACACACCACATCATAAGAAATAAAACTAAAGCAGAAGACTAGTTTCATATATTACATGGAAGATCTATTTGCTTATCGTGGTAACTTTGGTATCCCGTAAGCGGTTATTTTCAGAGGCTAGATCTACAATCACCCAAGAGAAAAACCACTTACTAGGCACCAGGTCGTCAAAATTGTTATTTTAAAATTAAATTTGAAATTAAAAATGTAAAAGTAAAATAATATTTAATTATTTCTTGTTTTCTGATAATTATTCGATGAAATTAAATGTGTAAAAATAAATAGTGTAAAACTTCCTAAAATAACATAAATATAATGTTTGATTATTATACTTCTTTCTTTCATTTTTGTTCAAAATGATTATTTATTTCATAAATGTATGTTTTATAAAAAGCACCGAAAAAATCGATATATCGTACATAAGCTTCGATGTTTTTAATGAGTTAAGTAATTAGTTAACTCAAGTTCAAATTAACACACTTCGAACTAAACTCGAGTTACGCAACTAGAGTTAGTAGGACGAAACACAGTAAATGATTTGTTACATTTACTTTAAAAATATCGATTCATTAAATATATATATATATATATATATATATATATATATATATATATATATACTTTTTTCACTTGTCCATCCCTATGACTGAGTAAGGGCGTAAAATCAGGGTAGTGTAATAGCTGACGTCCCTAACTAGGGGCCACGCCCACCATTCATTCAGGGCCCTGATTCAGGGTGGTGTAATAAGGGCATAATATGTCAAATATCCTCCATAAGTGGCAATCTATTGGGAGGCCTAAACCTACTGAATGAATGAATGAAAAAAATCCTAATATTATAGAGATAGCATATTGAAGGCAGCACTCACTATTTAAAGCGAGACACGCACACTGATGTGGTCATGCATGATGCAAATCTATAAGTAAAATCTGTTTTATGAATGAAGTCCCACGCAAAATGTGCGATCTAAAATTTTATGTATGGAACTATGGTATGGAATTTGACACCAGTCAAACTTCGCAAAAACTGTCGTGCCTATAGATCTAGTATAAGTTCCAGTTTGGCGTTTATATTAAATCTATGGTGGTGCCGCGGCTAAAGGACTTCTTTCATGAAACAGACTATAATAGGCGTAGAGAGAAAATGAACTATCTTTCTATGATAATAGATCTGTGGAGTATAGTATAATAAAATATTTAATCTGTGAATCAAAAGCATGCACATGCACAGCATGTATGCTTCAACATCATAATAGTCTATGGTTGTGAATACTATACTATATAATTGAGGTTTTTGCGGAAACTTGGCCGTCGACGGATTGCCGCTCCTGTTTTGTCGCTTGAATAATAGTTTGAAGTGGATTTTGATTCGTAAAAGTGATGCGATTTTGTGAATTAAGTGCTTTGTTGTTGATATAAACCTCAAGTTAATTTGATCGCTTGGGCGCCTTATGAACTTAAGTGGTTGTTGCCATCAACAGTCCGCTGGGTAGAGCTGTCGTCAATATCTCCCAAAAACTTCGCAATGTGACGCATCAGCTTATTGTGAAAAAAAATATATGAAATGAAGATTCTGAAAGAAATGATAGGCTCAGAAGGGCTAGAACCCAGAGCCGTAAAGCCTGTGAATAAAATAAAAAATACTAAATAATATATTTATTAATCTATGGCCTGGTGCTTCTTTTTAAATTTTTAATCTGTTGGATAGACCTGGACGCGACACGGGTGTTTTTCATAATTTCATAGCTTTGGTCATTTTATTAACTTACATAAAATGTAAGAATATTTCCATTTCTTTACATATTTACGGTGATACAATAATAAAAAGAAATAAACGTTAATGGTTCTCATGGAATTTATTTCAGGGCACGGAATAAATCTCCGACCGCTACATCCGAAAAAGATAAAAAGAAGCCAAAAGACAAAAAGAAGAAAGAAGAATCGGGTTCCAGCAGTAGTGATAGCAGCGGCAGGTGGGATAATAAAGTTTTACTTTCTAATTTGTATATTTTTTTAATAACTTACAGGTTATAATTTTCAAAACGGCTTAAACATAAATGTTAATAAATGCTTAGTGATGTTATTTAATTTCTACTTAACTGAATCACAAAGTGAAGTATTCGTAAGTATTTAACTCTATATTTATTCTTTTAATTGCTAATACACTTCGTTTCTTTTCATTTTTTCCTAGAAGAATCATGGGTCAAACAATCCTCTCATATTTATAGATGATGAATAATGAATATTAAGATTTATGGTATTTAATTATAGTAATAATGGTATAATATGGATTATATTATTTGGTAAGCCAAACTTAGACCAAGTTTAGATCCATCTCCACTTGGTAGTGTTTAGAAAATTATTCGGGTATGATTTGAAATGAAGTCACCTGAATTTGAGGATTCTGTCGCTGTGGGGGGTCAAGCTGATCTATCTGAAGCACCCCCATGTGATTTTTGCTACTGGAGTAGCGTCAAAGTATTTTTAATTATTTTTAAAAATATTGGTAAATCACTAACTAAACATGAAATGGAACATGCATTTAACTAAATTCTAACGTTTTTGACGTTGCATCCGGCAAAGTCCTGTCAAAATGCGTAAAATGAATAGCTAACCGGCTATTTTGTTGACAGTGACATATCATTCCTTTGTTTCCGAGTTTAAGTGAATGTGCTCCCTAACATTTTTATCTGTCTCCACCTGTTTTTCGAAGACTTCGCTACTCCTCTGGATCCTTTTAGAATTTACAAATATTTGTAGCTATAAATTATATATATAATTTATATATTTTATAATTAAGTAATTATAAAAGTATATATTTTGGCGTTTTATTTAGTGTAAGAGCAAGCGAAGCGAGCTCAGGATTTAGGGTACCCCGACTCGGACAGGTTAGGTTAGAAGGGGGTATAACAATTTTTTATTAACCACTCAGATGTAGGAGCCCTGCAGAGCAAGGCTCCGTCGACCGGGCTTCCCTCGACTGCTCTATGTTGAGTTGTGTGCGGCTTCCCTCCCCAATTCTTTCCCCACATAAATCACGCTTATAGTCAAAAACATTACGAAAACATAATCTCAAAATGAGATTTTTAAATTTATAAAAAAAAATTAAGCACGTCCAGCAGGGGGAGAAAGTGGCGGGCGACTCTACAACTCTCTATTCCAAACCCTAATTCAGGCGACTTAATTTCAAACCTTACCCTTTAACAAAAATATATACAGTAAGATTAGAATAACTCCTAAACTTTAGGTATAGGTTTAGTACAATCATAGTAAAAACAGAATAGTAGGCTAACTTCTAAGAAATATACCAAACGCCGCTAATATGTGTGCGTGTCTGGCACGTTACAGTAGGGACTTGTACGCACGAGCCACAGCTGACTAGAGCTTTGTTGACTTATAAAATTTTGCTAGCAGTCTTTTTCTCATTTTATTATCTCTTTTTGTAAAATAAATTAATATAAGTATGCGTTTTTTCAAGTAAATTAGCTTTATATTAACAGGATATATTACTATATATACATACCTTTAAATTAATTTTAAACATTAACTTTAAAATTAATTTGATCTGATCTGATTTACTCGTATTTTAGTTATTTGGCATTTGTTGTGATGTAAAGCTGGAATTTTTCTTGATAAACATTGAATTTTTGAGAGGAAACTAAAGAAATTATTATTTTTTATTAGGCATCTATCCGTATGTATTGTTTGTAAATATTATAAATACTTATAAAACTAAATGAGACTTAGCCATTAAACAAAGTCAGTAGCAACCCTGCAGCAGTAGGCATTTAAATTTCGCGCGGCACAGGAGTCGCCCTACTAATCTGTTTTTACTATGGTACAAGTGGCAAGGGGGTTGGCCATGGGGGGTTTTCAAGTGACAGCTTTGTACTGGTGAATGGAATGTAAGGTGGACTACAAGGTCAGATAACAATCTGGTAAGGTATGCAGTAAGTAGATAGATGCAGATAGATCAATTCTCCAGGGAAGACTATTTTTCAGCAGCAAAAGAATGGTGTGCTCCAGTAGTGCTTAAAATGTTAATAATGACAACATTTTTACAATTGTTTTAACATACTAAACCCTATTTATGCTTTTGACAATAAGTATACTTTAACATTAATTAGTAACAAGTTTTTTTTCCAAGTAAAAACTTCTTAAGAATCGTTTTGATTTCAAACTCAATGAAACGAAAAAGCAAGTCTAGAGACAAACATAATATATACATACATCTACAGAATTTAGCCTGCAAGAGAATGAGATAGGATGTATACAGTTCCCTATTATCTCATTCTTAATAAATTAATAATAAAAATTAATTTTAATTGTTAGTTTATTATAAAAAATATATCTGTGTGTGACTGCGCACATGTTTTTTCTTGGTACGACTTTCCATTGACGTCCGTCGAATTGGAGGTTGGAGGGGGGTGGTGGGAGGGGCGGGGGAGGTGTCCTACTCGCCCTTAAAAGGAAAAGGTGCGGAGCCCGCCCTTTTTGAGTTTTTTGAATTTTAATTCTGAGGAAATTTTATTTTTTATGCATAAATATTAAGTGTAAAAAAACCATGGGGACCTCTTGGGGGGGGGGGAAGGGGGAACCCCTTCACCAAAAATAAATAGAGGGGCTCATTCAGAGGGATTTCTGTATCTATTTTGAGACTGCAACGTCTCCGGCGCTGCGGGAAGAGCAGCCTCTATGCCTTTGCGTAACAAATCGTAGGCATCGGACGAGCCGGAGCGGCTGAGGCTGGTCGCCGAAGGCGACCAACAAGCCGAAGCTGCGGAGGCGAGGCAGCAGGCGGAGGCTGCTCTCCCTACGCGCCTCCGGCTCTATAAAAACACTCTAGGGGTAGGACAGACTCGTACCACATGGAGTCGGGGTCTATTAATTCAGTTCCTTGACATAAGTTGAACCTAACCTATTTTATTTATTATGTCATAATAGGTGGGCACTGTTTTATACACATGTTTTATACAATTTTATACACATATTGCTTTAATTAATTCTTAGAAATCATCAGTTTTATGTTACGTCCCACAAGCCAGCAAAAAACGGTAAACACTACACATTTTAATTTTAATAGCTCATAATGATAATAATTTTGTAATTTAAATATAAGCTGTTAAATATATGTGTATGCATGAAAACTATTTAAATGAAGACAAAATATAATTATTTACGTAAAAAAATACAATAAAATGATACCGAACGTATGACAACTTAACTGTACGGAAAACGAACATTCAATGGCGAGAATTCGATATAATCTGTGGTAAGGATTGACGTAAATATTATAAAAATAATTGATTTTCAATAATTTTTTTCTCAAAAAAGTACGCGTTTCCGCATGTTGAAATTTTGCGTGTGTGTTTACAATAGTGTAACCTTTCTGTAAAAAAAATATCATATAATCTGAGATAGGGATTGACATAAATATTGCAAAAATTATTGATTTTCAATAATTTTTTTCTCAAAAAGTACGCTTTTCCGCATATTGAAACTTTACGTGTGTGCTTATATTAATGTAACCTTTCTGTAAAAAAAATATCAACCCCCCAACTCGACGGACGTCAATGGAAAGCTTAGCCTTTTTCTTAATTTAGATTTATATATTTTATTGATTTGATTAGATTTATAAAGAAATTTGTCCATTTTGATATGATTTTTTTGTATGCAGTTCATCTGACAGCAGTTCATCTCGTTCTTCGTCACGGTCATCATCAAGCAGCTCAGGCAGTTCATCACGCTCTTCCTCTTCCTCCAGCTCATCCAGCAGTAGCAGCAGCAACAATGATCGGGCTAAACCAAAGAAAAAGTATTAACCTTATTTTTTTATGGCTACAGAAATAAATAAATACATAATCATAGTTATGGCTATGTCATCTTTTTTTTTATAGAATTGAGGAAGACAAACAAGCACACCTGATACTTAGTGGATGCTGTGGTCATAGGCAAAATCTCCATGAAAAAATCAATCTAAGATGGAATGCCACATAACCTTTCTCCAGTTGTTATCACTATATAAAACAGCAGCATTATGCTGCTATTTCTGATTTTTGTGTTGATTTCATGCTATTCTGTGACACTATGGTCATTTACCAGTTGAACTGACATGGCTATCAGGTTTATTTACTTATGTGGAGCCAACCAGTAAATAATCCTGATAGTTCATATTTTCAATTGCATTGGTTTCATCTTTGCCAGTAAGATGAGTTTGAATGAGTTTTGTTTATTATTCTTATGCCAGTAGTAGTTGTAAGAAATATAAAGACAACTTAGTAGGTACTAGGTTATATAATTTATAATGCAAGTTACAATATAGTGGTATCTTATGTATATTTGAGAATCTAAAAATAAAATATATCCTAGGACATCACCTCATAAAAGCCCTGTAAAGGATCGTCGTGAGCCAGAAAGGGAAAAAGCAAGAGACAGATCACCAAATGCTGATAAGAAAAAATTGACATTGCCACTCACAAATGATAAATTAAAGGGCAAGGAAAAACAGGAACGGTAAATATATTTTTTTGCTTTTCACTTTTCTAATATGTGATAAGTGTGCAAAAGTAAAGGTAATATTTTATATTTTTCAGATCACCAGGTCGCAAAAAACGAGAAAGATCGCCTCCGCCAAGACCCACTCGTATACATATTGGTCGTTTAACATTGAATGTGACAAAGGAACATATTAATGAAATATTCTCAACGTATGGCACAATAAAACTAGTAGAATTTCCAATGGACAGGCTGCACCCCCACAATGGACGTGGTTATGCCTATGTGGAGTTCAGCAATGCTGATGAAGCAGAAAATGCTATGAAGCACATGGATGGAGGTAAGAAACTAGGCCTAAATTGTTTAGAGACTATTCTTATTTTTTAACCCCTCAACTGGTGCGGCCTACGCGCGCCTTATCCCCGCGTCTGGCGGACCGCAGGGTCAATATCAGGTTAGGTGGGAACAAATACATTCTTTCACGGATTTCTCGATAACTTTGTATGGAATATCTATTAATATTTTTGTATTTGGATTCTCCATAAAGTTTCCTAGAGATTAGTATATAAATATTCTAATGTTTTTACATACATCTTATAAATGATTGAAATTAAGGGGGAAAGAAAAATTTCGATAAAGTTGTGTAAAATTAGGTATATTTTTGAAATTTGAACAGTTTTATTTACAGTTTTTCTTTTATTTTATATATAAGTCTCTTGATTATAAAATATAATTATCAATACACATGTTTTCTCATACACATTTTTTACACCAGCGCTATTAGAAAATACAGCATAATTCGTCACACGCGCGCACTCTTAAAAAACGTAAGAGAATAATTTTACATCAATATAATATTATAATATTTTTCAAAAAATCTATGCATCTAATACAAAACATAAAAGTACTGTAAGACGTATCCATACCATTAAATTATCGCACCGATCGGCCCATGACTTCACGGTGACGTCGCATGAATTCGAACGCGACTGGCGCTGGAACACTTTCGTACATCACGACCATCTTTACTATTTACTTTAAATTATTAATTTATGCACCTATATTCCGATTAGAATTTAGTAGTCACATAAAAATATAATATATTACTCAAAATACAAAACAGTAAACAGACAGTTTCCGTAAATATTTGTGATAAAATAATGTAGGTTTGTTTTTTTATGGCGGTCGCGAGCGTGGTATTTTTACTTCTATGACAAACAGTAGATTACTAACCTAGACGTTAAGCTCGTACTATACATGACATACACAAACAACTTGTGTTTTGAGTAAACATTTATTTACTCAAAACAAGAGTATGCTTCAAATATACTTTTCGTCACTAGGTCGAACTTAGCTGTCGACCGTTTAAAAAATTCTTCCGTGTAAGCCGATATTATTGGCTCATTTGCTAGCCTATTCTTTCCCATATACACATGGGTAAGAATAAGATAGAAATAATATCGTCACTTATTTTTGCTATAGAACTAGAGGTAAGGCGATCGTCCCGAATCGGGACTGCCACCAGACGCGCTCTTTTACAAATGGGGCTGAGCACCAGCTGAGGGGTTAAGACAACATTTTAGTATGTTTAACTTACTTGGCCTTATTACAAAAAGTGGTTATTACTTAGTCTCAGGTTTAAACTAGAATCGCTGCTAAGGGACTTCTATAGGTAGAAGGACTCTTCTTAAACCATAATTTAAACACAAGACTCTCAAAAATACAATTTATTTGTAATGAGACCGATTACCAGTGTACCTGAGCTGGGCTGCACTGTGAATTGTATTTACACATACGACAAGTGTAAAATGTACCTAAGAAAATATTACAAGATTAGATTGGTGTGTGGTGGAGGCAGTAGGACCACACTCTCACAGAATACCAGCGTAAAATAGCAGCTTAATATGTGTTTCATATGGTGAGTGTAGAGAACCAAAGACCCTTTTCATTGGAAACAGGACATTCCATCTTAGTCCTCAGGGGTGACAGTGCATCTGCATTTTGATTAATTGAGGATAAATGTAAATGTCTATGGGCCACAGCATCCACTTACCATCAGGTGTACTGTGTGCTAGTTTGTCATTCTAAGTCTATAAAAAAAATAGTTGAGATACATTACTTTACTAGTAAGTTGCTGCCTTCCATGCTTCACCTTATTCCACCAAACCGGAGTATATACCAGAATAGTTACCATTTCACTTACATATTTATTAATTATATATTCGCTTTTCTTCTAACTTTCCTTAGCCCCATGAAAGATTTATAAAAAATACATGGATATATTTTTTTATTGGCACAAGTCTTTCTTCGATTAAGCTGGCCCAACTGGTTGGTTAGTTGGAAATGTTTAAGTCATTTTATAGTAAAATATTTAAAGGTGTTTACTTTTATGTTGTGTTAATTTTACTGAATAATAATGGCCATGTAGTGGTGATATTAAAGAAACTATTGGAATACGCCGTACCATACAGTGTGTGTGTTGAAGAGACTATAGAGGGAAGCAATCTAGTAGATGAGAACAGCATCTTCTTGATAACAAATTAAAAACATTTTTGCTAAATCCAAATATATATATCCAAATGCCTTAAGGGCTCATATAATATAAATATTTTAAATACAGACAAGTTTTCATATATAACCTTATTACTAATCCGATAATTTTATGTCAAACATCAATAAAAATGTTTGAAAAATCCAAAAGTGCAGTGATTTTTTAGATATTTGTACCCAGGCATTATCGTAAAAACTAGTCTTTTTTGTTAATATATTTTACTCATCAACTTTATTTCATTTTCAAAAAGTTTTTCATCTAATCGTAACCAGGAATTTAGTTTAGCATTCACCAAATCACACCTTCAGATCACTCTGTCAAGTCCGGAGGTAAGATCTCATTATACATTTGACATTCGAGTTCTCGTTTTTGTAACTGATAAATGAAAATATAAAAGGCGTATTATTGAATTAGATACTTAATCGGCTACATACGTAGTTAGAATCTGTTTTTCCCGAAAGTAAGCAAAAACGTTTCAAATTAACTTTTAGTCCACCGAATATTGCATGCTTACTTAGTGCTGGACAAATATGCTAAAAGCCTTGTAACGTCGGAAATGATCTCCTTAAGATATGAATTAATTTGTAATGGTGCAGGTCAGATCGACGGGCAAGAAATCACTGCGGCGCCGGTGCTGGTGCCGTCGCGGCCGCGCCGGCCATCGCCGCGCCCGCCGCCGCGCCACGTGCCGCCGAGACGACACTCGCCGCCACGGTACGTTTCTTACTCTTACACCAAATACTTATGTGTATACATACTATAATACACAATAGAATGTCTGTCAACGTTATTTTGTATGACAATAGGCGTCGCCGGGAGCACACATATAAGCAATTACGTCGTATCATCAGTTAATCACTACTACAAACCAGATTCGCTGTGTTGACAGACAGATTTTAATACATATTTATTTGTAAATAGCATGCAATTTGGCATTTTCTAAATAATTTGCATGCGAAATTTGGAAACGATTGTAACGTCAAAACACATCTCATGTTGACATTTATACGTGTGAATTCACATGTAAGTGCCATTTTAGTGGTTACATGGGCTGCGCCCACTCCCCTGTTCTATTATGTATGTATTATAGTATTCTATGTGTGTATACTACTTACTACTATGTATGCTTTTGTAGACTGGCAATTCAGAATTAAACCTGTACCGCAGCTGATACATGCGCGGACGCGGGCGGGTAGCTGGCACATTAAACATGCCACGCAGTTGTATTTTAATTTACGACAGTTACTGTTTTTATGCAAATACGAAATAAAGTTACATTACATTAAACAAAATCAGGGGACATACTATCAGAAACAATGTTCGCGATTTACAAAACAAAGAAGTTGTCTTTTCGCCCGCTTGCAGTTGCCTAAAGAAGTTACGGAGTATTAACGGTAAAGTCGTGTAGTGGCGGTTAAGAATATCCACTACCCCATATCTTCCCGTGGGTGTCGTAAGAGGCGACAGAGGGAGACAGGCAGGAGATGGGCAGCAGCGTCTTCCTGATGACAACTGTGACGTAATAAAAAACTGCGGTTGCCAACCCGCTCGCCAAGCGTGGCAACTATGGCAAATACCCCCAATGAACAAATACACAAACAGACGGCCCCCAGTCCCCGGCGGCCCCGCTATTCCTGGCTACGGTGGCGACCATGGTAACGGCGGGGCAGGGGGTGCTAAGAATCTCCGGTGGAGGTTCGGTTGCCACCTACGACGACTCGACCTGGCAACATATAACGCACGCACCCTGAGGACTGACGAGAAGATACTGGAGCTGGAAGAAGAGGTAGACAAGTTGCGCTGGCATATTATTGGATTATCCGAGGTCCGAAGAGAGGGGGAGGACACGGCAATCCTCGAGTCCGGCAACTTGTTCTATCACCGGGAGGGCGACCATCTGTCCCAAGGAGGTGTCGGATTTATCGTCCACAAATCTCTCGTCAACAACGTTGTAAAGATTGGGAGTGTGTCGACGAGGGTCGCGTACCTGATACCCAGAATCACCAAACGGTATTCGCTGAAGGTCATTCAGGTTTACGCACCAACCTCGGCACATCCCGATGAGGAGGTGGAGGAAATGTATGAGGATATTTCCAGAGCCATACATTCCTCCAGAACCTACTACACGGTGTTGATGGGAGACTTCAACGCAAAACTGGGCACAAGAGAAAGCGGTGAGCTGAAGGTAGGGAAATTTGGAGTAGGGCAACGGAACCGAAGGGGCCAGCAGCTGGCCGACTTTATGGAGAAAGAGGGACTCTTTATGATGAACTCTTTCTTCCAGAAGCGGCCCCACAGGAAGTGGACCTGGTCGAGCCCCGACGGTTCGACAAAAAATGAGATTGACTTCATTATGACGACCAGACGCCAACTGTTCAGTGATGTCTCAGTGATCGCAAGGGTGAAAACTGGCAGCGATCACCGAATGGTTAGAGGCACACTGAACCTAAACGTTAAGTTGGAGAGGTCTCGTCTAATGAAGTCAACGCTCCGTCCCCCTCGTGCTCTAATCCAGAATCCCGAAACCTTTCAGCTCGAGTTACGTAACCGCTTCCAGTGCCTAGAAGATTGCAATGCAGTGGACGATATGAACGACAAGCTCGTGGAAACTGTCCATGCGGTCGGAGCTAAGTTCTGTAAGACCCGCCGCAGAAGAACACAAAAACTCTCCGATCACACTCTTAATCTCATGGCTGTTAGACGGGAGATGAGGCTGCAATCGTCAACAGATTTGACAGCATACAGGCAACTGAACAGACAGATCTCCAAATGCATACGGCGAGACTTACGCAACTTTAATACTTCTCGTATTAAAGAAGCGATCGAGCGGAACCAGGGCTCCAAAGTCTTTGCCAGAGATCTGTCTGCCAGAAAGAGCCAACTGTCAAGGCTGAAGACTGAGTGTGGCAACATCGTTTCCGGGACACCTATTTTGAGTGAGATTGAGAGGTTCTATGGGCAGCTGTACACATCATCGTTGGAGCCACACGCAAGTATGAGTAACGATCCAAGAGCAAGTCTTATCCGACACTATTCCGATGATATCCCGGACGTCAGTCTAAGCGAGATTAGAATGGCTCTCCAGCACCTTAAAAACGGCAGGGCCCCAGGCGAGGATGGAATTACAGCGGAGCTTCTGAAAGCGGGTGGAACACCGGTACTTGAAGTCCTTCAGAAGCTCTTCAATTCCGTCCTCCATGGTGGCACTACTCCAGAGGCGTGGAGCAGAAGTGCGGTGGTCTTGTTCTTTAAGAAAGGCGACAACGCTCTCTTAAAGAACTACAGACCGATTTCCCTTCTGAGCCGCGTCTACGTGCTGTTTTCGAGAGTCATTACGAATCGTCTCGCACGCAGACTTGACGACTTCCAGCCTCCCGAACAAGCCGGTTTCCGAAAAGGCTTCAGTACCATAGACCACATACATACCCTGCGGCAGATTGTACAGAAGACTGAAGAGTACAATCTGCCACTTTGCCTGGCGTATGTGGACTATGAGAAAGCCTTTGATTCCGTCGAAATTTGGGCGGTGCTACAGTCCCTTCAGCGGTGCCAAGTTGACTGTCGGTATATCGAAGTGCTGAAGTGTTTGTACAGTAGGGCTACGATGGCTATCCGAGTACAGAACCAGAGCTCGAAACCTATCCAACTGCAGAGAGGTGTAAGACAGGGTGACGTTATATCCCCGAAACTCTTCACCGCTGCATTGGAAGACGTTTTCAAGCTACTGGACTGGAAAGGATACGGTATTGACATCAATGGCGAGTACATCACTCACCTTCGATTTGCCGACGATATAGTCCTTATGGCAGAATCGCTGGAGGACTTAAGCACTATGCTCAATGACCTCAATAGTGCCTCCCAACGGATAGGTCTTAAGATGAACATGGACAAAACAAAGATCATGTTCAATGTCCATGTCACACCTATGCCGGTAGTTGTTGGGAGCACTATGCTCGAAGTTGTTGACGAATACGTTTACCTGGGACAAATAGTCCGACTAGGTAAGTCCAACTTCGACCGAGAGGTCAATCGACGGATTCAACTCGGCTGGGCAGCGTTCGGGAAATTACGGCATATCTTTTCGTCAGGTATACCTCAATCTCTAAAAACTAGATTGTACAACCAGTGCGTGTTGCCAGTGATGACTTACGGATCTGAGACGTGGTCCTTCACTGCTGGCCGTATGAGGACGCTTAAGGTCGCTCAGCGAGCTATGGAGAGGGCTATGCTCGGAGTTTCTCTGCGTGATAGACTCAGAAATGAGGATATCCGCAGTAAAACCAGAGTGACCGACATAGCCCAACGGATTAGTAAGCTGAAGTGGCAATGGGCCGGCCATATAGCTCGAAGAACCGATAACCGATGGGGAAGAAAGGTTCTCGAGTGGCAGCCTCGTACCGGTAGGCGTAGTGTAGGGCGCCCCCCACTAGATGGAGTGACGACCTGGTAAGACATGCAGGAAGTCGATGGATGCAGGTGGCTCAGGACCGTGCTTTGTGGCATTACTTGGGGGAGGCCTATGTTCAGCAGTGGACTTGTGAAGGGCTGTAATGATGATGATGATGATGATGATAGTGCGCCATGTATTAAAACCGCAGAACCCGTCTAGAAGTATACATAGAATTCTTTGTCTTAGACCTGCATAACTCGTGTTTGAACCAGTTGAAATATACAGAATGCAGGTCACATAAATTTAAGCCGCTGAACTGTAGCTCAGTGGCGGCTCTATGGCGCAGTGACTTAGCAATGATTTACCGCACGTAACAAGTATTTGTATAGCCTACAAATAATTGTTCCGAGTCTTAATGTCCTTGTGAAATTTTCTTAAATTTACGTAAACTGCCTCCATATTATAGAAGAAAATCCTAGTGTGGCTTAACTTTAATATTTAATTCATTACTTTAATGGCAAACTATTTTTTTTAATAATAATTACATAAACTTCAGTCAGGTCACAAATCTTTACATTGTTCCACAGACACAAATGCCAAACAGATGTCATTTTGGTACAAATATTGTAAATACCTTCCTTGTATTTTACTTTTTTTCTACCTTAGTTGTATTCTGTCTTAGATCACTGGATGATATTTTTTTTAGTTGAAATTGAGTTTATGGGAGTAATATTGAGCTGTTTATCTATTGCTGTATTGTTTAGTCACAAGTGTTTTTATAAATAATAATTGTATGCTTCTTGGGTTACATGAAAAGTTGAGTCATGTTTTAATAAAGATTGCCGGTTGCTTTTAGAATTGAGGCCATGGTTCTGAATCGTTTTGTAGCTCAGTAGATTAACCAGTAAATGTGAAACCTTTTGCACTGAAGAAAAGAATGAAAGAAATTTGTATTTGAAGCTACTATATGATACAGAAGTCCTATTAACAAAAACAGGTATTCATTTAATTATACATGTGTTGAACTGAAGCAACAAAATGGCTACCCATTCAGCGTAATGCTACGGCACTGTTACCGCAGCGCTGTTATTCGACGATACTAGCATGACGATTCAGGAAAATCCTCTCCACAATGGGAGACATATGTTAAGTTGTGGACATTTATGGGCTGATGAAGAAAAAAAGGCTAATGACTCACGGAGCGTTTTTCACTACTATATTTGAAAACTCACGAGATCACAGTTTTGTGTGGTTTCGTGCTCGCCGCGATGGCCTTCACGCCCGCAAATAGATTAAACAGTTAGATTGTAATATATAAAAACAAGATATTATCAGTCTTCTAAATTGTTAGTTACCATCATTTAAGTGCATAGATAAATTTATAGCTTTTTGTTTCTTTTTTATGTTTCAGAGGTTGATTACATTATCTTTTAGTTTATGTAATAGGTTACGTATTATTTAAACTAAAAGATTACTTAAATGATTACTAGAAAAATTTATTATTATAAAAGAAATCAATATTATCATTTTACTGCAACAAAACATCTTACTTAGGTATTAGATATTCGGCCGAATAGTACCTAAATATTCGGTATTCGACCTAATAGGATAAAAGTAGCCGAATAGGTCGAATATTCCTTACAAGTCTAATATTTATTAACTATATCCTCCAGACCGAAATTCGGCCACGGCGGCCTGCCTCAATAGAGGCTAGCCATCGGCGCAGGACAGGATTATAGTGCCCAAGTGTAAGCGCAAGCATAGGTGCACTCTCTATTCCCTCACTCTAATAATACGATGGGACGGTAAATCGACACGACCGGGAGAGAGACCAGGCGCAGGACCAACGGCTTTACGTGCTTTCCGAGGCATGGGGGTGAGACACCGCCAACTTCATGACTCCGGGCAGCTACTGAGAATTTCTTGACAGAAAAACTCAATTGATTTTTATGGTCCGACCCGGGATTCGAACCCAGGACCTCATGATCAGCAGTCGCACTACTACAACCACTAGACCAACGAGGCAGTCAATCAGTCTAATATTTACACTGAATATTGTGCGCGTGTCGAAGTTCCGCTAGTTGCGGGAGGCGGGTAGGATATCGGTGAGTTGTTAGGCTACAGTTTGGTCGCATGGAGCAGGTACAGACGGCGCAGTCCGGCGCGGCGCCGCTCGCCGCCGCGTCGCCGCCGCACCCGCTCGCGCTCGCCACGCGCCGCGCCGCGCCGCCGCCGCTCCAGGTCCTCCTCCTCTTCCTCGCGGTAGTTCATCACGCACACTCCCAACTACACTACGCACACTTATAGTCTATTTATTATAATATTACGCAACAGACCCCAGAACTGAAAAAAAATTGCTGTTTACCCCTCTATTTTCTTGGAAGACCTATTCAACGATACCTCGCACGATGATATATAGGTTGGTTAAAAAATCATTCCCTTTTTACCTGTATCGGAGGTACCTAAAAGAAAAATATTTTTTTAAGATTTTGTTTGGCGACATTTGGGTTACACTTGTTACGATCGCATTACACGTATCATTTTGTTTTTATAAAAATACTAAAAAGTTTTCAACATCGTTATTTACTCATAGCCTCTAAATGCAAAATATAGTTAATTTATTACATTAGATGTAAAACACAACTATGATAATACTAAAATATAAAGGAACAGTCGTAAATTACGCTATAATAAATAGACTATAACACATGCATGCAACACTAGACGCTGACACGCTCACAGATTCGTTTATTAATCCACCTCAAAACATTTTACGTACCTACATAGTTTGACATACATTTGCACTGTTTGTTACACATACTAAGAGTGGTTAATTAATTTATATATCAAATAGATTTTGAAACACAATAGCAAAACACATAACTTAGGTTAAAAAAGCATTACTTTGGAAATATATGTCAATAGCTCCTCCGGTCTGAACCTCCATTGTAAAAAAAAATACATTAAATTTAACTTCAAATGCAACAGGTGAATGCTTGCAGCCAGTACTCCATAAAAATTCTGACGTTAGGACAAAAGGAACACCCTGTTTAATTACAAAAATAAGCTGTATAGAATGCAAATATGCTACACCAAGTAGTTTTTTAGTTATTGGACACTATCATGACATATATCTCCAAGTCAAAAATACTCAACAAGATAACATTACACATTCCAGAAAATTCAGCATAGGTAAGTATAAAACAAACCCATGTTAATGAACAAACAAAAATAATACTGAATAGGATAAAGCACAATAAGCGACAGGTAAGTATGACCTTGTCACATTGCTTTACTCCTTATTGAACTTGTTGAGCTATTAAAAATCTATATTAACAGGAAATTTCTTGTTATAAAAGCTTGCAAAATGGGAACTGAGCAGAGTGAGTGATCAGTGCTAATAAACTGGAAAAAAAATGACTAAAAAGGTGCAGTGATAATGTATTATGTATGTATAATTTTATTTGTAAAAATCAACGGACTATTGACTTTTGTTAATAAACATTGAGAATAATCCATTTTTTATTTTGGTTCCCAGATGCAAAGAACCCGTGTTAAGTGACAAGTAATGCAAACAAGTATTGTAATCTATATTAATTAAAATGTACAAGTGAAGGTTCAAATAAATACACATTTATGTTTTAGTACGTTTTTGAATTATTTTAGAAAAATGTATTATAAATAACAGAAAGTTCATCCAATCATTCTATAATTTCATCTTCATTGCTGAGAGGTTCTTCAGAGCCAGTCTTATTGCCAATTATTTTACAATAAGTCAAATAATCAGTTACAAGCACTTTCCCTTTATACAAGTAGCTGTTATCTAAAAGAGACATCTGTTGCAATGATCTGTAACAAATTATTAATAAAATGTACCGTATTTAAAAAAATACGATTTATTGATTAATAAATTCCATATGAAAGTGTTAAATACTTTTAACAATACAATACAATTCGTCGAAGTTACTAATGTCTTCCAAACCGAATTTCGGTCACGACTTAACCTCTGCACAGGATAAGATATCACAGTGCCAGAGTGTATGCGCAAGCACAAGTGCACTCTCTATTCCTTTATCGTCATTGTTCGATGGTACGGTAATTCGACAATATCAGAGAGATTCCAGCGAAGAACCAACGGCTTTACGTGCTTTCTGAGGCACGGGCATGAAACACCGCAAACTTCCTCACTCAGACCTGCTACTGAGAATTTCTTAACAGTAATGGTGATTAATATAGCGCATAGTGCCATATTATAGCGCGCTATCTCTCCATAACACGTAGCGCGTGCTATGTAAGTAGTCGCCATGGCGCTATTAAGTATTAATATCTAGTGGCAAATAGTTCTAGCAGCACCGCTGTTGAGAGAAGACGTGTGACGTCTAGTAGCACGCTATTCATCGCGCGCGACCTAAGTTAGTGTTGGACATTGCTTAGTTAGTGTATACTGTATATTTATAAGTGATAGAAGGACATAGTTGTCTGTTATAAAAGAAACCTAACTAAGGTTTTAAATGTTAATGAAATATAGATACCAAAGTGTATGTAAATAGTTGATTTTTATAAATACAATAAATAAACTTTTAAATACACCTTTATTTGATTTATATTTTATATTAAGGTTAAAATAACGTTTACATCAATTATAATAAAAATAATTAATTTTATTTCGTTTTAAAAAGCACATGCCTAAAAATATTTTTAGGATTATAGAAAGTCGTAAGCCTGAATTGTATGAAAAAGCGTTCATTAGTTTTTTTTACCGCTTTATTTTATTTTAGTCTAAAATGCGACTTTTTACGAAAAAATGTTCTTATATAGCTCGCGGTCTATCCAATTAATGACATGTAATGTACGAGGTATAGCGTGCTGCAAAATTTAACGCGCTTGCCAACCTCCTACACGCATTCTTATAAATAGCGCGCTATAACATAGCGTATTTAATAGCGCGCTAGAAATTTATAGTTTATAGTCTGTAGCGTGCTATTGATTTATAGTCGTTTTGAACAACTTTACTTGACAGCAAACCTAATCATTAACTGTTTTTGGTTCGACGAGGGACCCCATATTCAGCAACCGCGTTTAAAACACTAGACCAACGAGGCGGAGTTAAAAGTTCATAACCCACCAGTTTCAAGATTCGAACTATATAAACCACACATTCTCTGTAAACAATACTATGAATGTTGTAGTTTGACAATCATTGCACGGGTACCTCTAGGTCTCACAGCACTAATTTCGACCCAGACCGACTCTTTGACCACATACAAATGGCTACAGATTCTCTGCAGTGAACTTGACTGAAGTAATTCAATCGGCAGTTTTTAATTGTCACGAACCCCAAGCTCGTAACAATACTTCCATACATACGGGCAACCTAATATAAAGCGTGTTAAAAGAAATACATACGGATATTGAACATTCATGTTTTTTGGCCCCCTCACAGGATTCCAGGCAGATACAGGTGACTTGTTAGCAAGCATCAATCCTGCCACTGCTATATACAACCCATATTCTTGACAATATTTTTCCTAAAAAATTATAATAATTAAAACAAGATAACTTTTACGTTGTAGAGCTATGCTACGGCTATATTTTATGTGGTAGAACTATTCTTCAGCTATACTAGTAGTATAGTTGTAGCACAAATGGGTCGGCTCGACCAGTGAAGAACAACGTTCTCACAGAATACCAGCATAAAATAGCAGTTTATTAACGCTGTGTTTCGTATGGTTAGTGTGTAGAACCGGAGACCCTTTTGACTGAAAACGAGGCATTCCATCTTAATCTTCGGGTTCGACATCTCCATTTTGATTTCTTAATGGAGGATAGATGTAGATGTCCATGGGTCACAGTATCCGAAATATAGTAGCATTTAGCTGCTATTTTACTCTGGTATTATGTAAGAGCGTGAGCCGGTCACATCTGTCACAAAAGTAACAAGCGTTAGATTTGAGATGTCACGGAATGGAGACAGCGCTAAGGTAATCGTAACGTTATACGCCTTTGAACTATCAACGCAAGGCGGTTGGTGGAATCTGGACACATGTAGCGGTAAGATCGAGATAAATGCAGCGCCTTATAAGAAGCCTAATTCCGGCAGTGGATTGCCGCAGAATGATATGATTATGATATTAAGTCTAAGCATAGATGAAGTAATGGTCTTATCAGAAATGTTGAAAGACAGCAGCATGCTAGTGTATAGTGGTATGCACAGCCAGTTTGCGCGAAAAATAATTTTTTGTATTGAATGATGGTGAGAAAATACGTAAAACGTAATTTCCCACCACCAAACTACGAAATTATGTTAATTGAAAAATACATATTTCAGAACTTTATAAAAACATATATATTTTTCTTAAAAGATAAAAAATTGTTACAGAAAACCATATAAGTTTTGCGTAAATTATAATTATATGAATATATTCATTGTTTTTCGAAGTATGTTGCAAACCGGTAACATTCATTGCTATGCAGACGACAGTATATGGAATACTGTTCCCATCTCTGGGCTGAGGCTCCCCAGCTCTTTTCATTTGATCGCATCCGGGCAGAGCTGTTCGAATCGTCGGCGACCGAGCTCTTTCCGATCGGCTTGACTCACGGGCACTGCGAAGAGATCTCGCATCATCTGTGTGCGTATTTTATCGCATCTACCATGGGGAGTGCTCTGAGGAATTGTTGAATTGAATTGACAAGAACAGCGGATAAACAAATGGTGATGTACCACTCGGTATTAACTCTTCTTTGATCTTCAAGTGGGACTGTGTCAACGGAACCCGTGCGCGAGAAAAAAAATGAAATCATTTTTTTTTCGACGTTCCTCGCCTGCTTCAATTTTGTCGGTCAATTTGTTGGCAATATTTTAAAATTCTTTGGTGAAAATCTCTGCTTTGAGCGACTGTTTGAAGACTATTAACCATTGGTCTTAGAATATATTATCATACATATGTTTGCACTTACTCTGAGATCTCTGTCATACCTCGACGACGTCAATAAACAACACAACTTGTGCAAGCGACATATGTTTGAAATTGGCAGTATGAAAAAAAAGAATGCATTATGAATATTTTATCTATGCCAAATCTCACACTCCTCCGTGCTTGCTTATGCTTAAAAAAAGGTACAAAGTTTTCTATTCACGTATTAATATAAGCATTACCTTACCCTCCATTCTGCAAGTATATAATCAGCGTCACTAATTGCTGATACAGCTTTATCAACATCGCTGATGGATGAGAAATGTGGTAAGTAGTTTTCTTCAAGAAAATTGATGAATGTACTTGGGCTGCTTAGAAACTGTTCTACAATCTCTTCAGGAGAATGTGACAATTTTGCTCTTCCGCTTTCATCGATCAAAACTAAAAAGTTTTAAGTACGTTTATATTAGTTACAATATGCGTGTAGTACATCATAGATATAAAAAAAGAAGAACATATGCCCGGTAGTTGAAAATGTATCGCAAACTGGTGTCTCCAGTTGGCCCCTACCATGCGCCAACTACTACTACTACACATACAGATTAGTAAAAACAATAGATACGCAGGCGCGCACACACCCGTATTTTATAAATAAGAACGTACTACACAATCAATTATAAACCTTATCCCAAAAACCAGCGTGCGTTTACCATGCACCGTATTACTAGCTGCTACAGCTATAGATAGCCTACGTTAGTAGATCTGCACAAGCACGTCACTAACTCGTCGCAAGTTACAGCGACCACTACGCGATACTGTTACCGTTACAAGTTACAACCTATTAAAGTCCACTGCTGAACATAGACCTCCCCCATAGATTACCTCATAGAGGAATATTTGCCATAGTTGTCACAATTGGCAAGCGTGTTGGCAACCGCAGTTTTTTTTATTTTTAGCCGTTATAGTTCATTTCAAATAGCATGGCAGGATTGTACTTGAAGCTGTCATTAGGTGATAACAAAAGAAGTGGTATTTACAACCGATACCTGGGAAGACCTTATCCTGACGTGGTATTTTTGTGGCAGCAAACAAGTTTTGATGCTTTTGTTAAATACACGATGACATTGTTGTCAAAAATTCAGTCGTCTTGTAACTTCGTTATTACACAGACGTACAAATAAACATGTTTCGGTCATGGGAAATATCAAATAGTGCATCTACAAGTGATGAAAATAGTGTTCAGCGTAGAAAAAGACATTTAAGTTCAGACGCTCATGACATAGTTTTGAGTGTTTACAAATCCAAAGTGTACGAAACGTAATAAATTCTACAAATCCCATTTTTTGGAAGAATGTTTGTGACCATGTCATAAGAGTGGAAAACGAATTTTCGAGGGATCGGATACAACCATTTATAATAAATACGTGTGAGGAGACAGATACCGATGAATGTTCTTCAGAGTGATTGATTAAACAAAATATTAACAAGTTGTTATAAGTATTTAAAATAGTTAAGTTAAAAGTAATAAAGGTTTTTTATCTACAATTTAATTTGTTTTAATGTTCAAGTACCAAAATTCGTCATTCCAGCTATACTGGTTCAGTATTATCAACAGATGCTTAACTTCAAGTGTTAAAGCAATAAAATAATCACACAACAATAGATTAACATTACAGCTGTAATTGCTAAGTCTCAAGTGGAATCCTGCCATCCTATTTGAAATGAACTATAATTAGAAAGACGCTGCTTCCATTCTCCTGATTTGTCTTCCTCCGTCGCATCTTACGGCACCACGGATATGGGGCAGTGGTGATTCTTACACCGCCACTACACGGACCGTCACACGCGATGCATTCGCATAAATAAAGTATCGTTTTGTGATATTTAAATCGCTTGTTCAGTCATTTAGCGACATGTTTAGGTATTGGTTAAGGAGCAATGTATTTAATAGTACAGTCGCTGTGATATTTTTAAACAAAAATAACGTAGTAAGAACAAGAAGTATTTTACTATTTGTTGTTTTTCGAGATTTTAAAATACATATTATGGTAAGTAATACTAGAGTAAGTAATACATAATTATTGTAAGTGATTCCGTGATTTACAAAGTTTTTGTTTTGGCTTCGGTTTTTACAAGAACCATTCACGGCATTCTGATTTTCACCATGACGGTCCAAAGTGCACAACTTCGGTCATTTGCGTAGAACTTGAATTTTTTTTACATAGACACGCCCCCTTGCCACTTCTCTTTTTATATTTATTTTTGTTTTATACTATTCGATAATGTCTGTGTAAATAAAAAAAATTGACAACTAAACTTTTCAGCATTGACTAATGTTATTCTTTCATCCCCATATAAACTTAAGCTTAACAATATGTACAAACAAATGAAAAGTAAAGAAAAATAAAATAAATTATATGATTTTAATTAAGTAAACAATGTTGAAGCGTTAAAACCAGGTACAGTAATTGGTCATGTACATTTTCTGATACCTCTATCTGGCACACAAGTCAACAATGATAAGCTACAGTAGCCTAATGGCAGGGTGCGAACTGCGGACTCAAAAGGTCGTGGGTTCGAATCCGCCATTCGACTACTGTCGTGAACCACTCCTAACATAATCATTTTGAGCTTACCAAGAGAGATTAAAGGGAATATTAGTAATATTAATAGCACTGTTAGTACTTAAGAAAAACGTGCAAAGACTAAAAGTAACACAACAAACAATTAATCTTTACCTTATCAATATCAATTGTTATTTAATAGTTGTTTTTATTTATTTTATTAAACAGCCTCTTTTAGCTAACAACTTCTATTTGATTGACAAAGTTTTAGATTTAATTAATGTTTTTTCTTCATTACATTATAAAAAAGTTTCGTATTAAATATTTAACATAGGTATGTAACTATTTAAATTAACTTAAACTTCTAATAATGGCATGTGATAAAGTTAGGCTGTCCCTTGACTTTGGTGTTTCCAGATTCTTCTATTGGTCCTGATAAGCTACTTACTCTTCTCCATCATTTTGATAGATCATCTTAATGTGTCTGTTCTGCCTTTTCAACATTTCTCTTTTCTAGGATACCAGTTGAAGATTAAATTAATATAAACACATCAACGGAATCTAGGGATATTTTATATTGCATTTAATATCTAAAAATCTATGAAGTAGTAAGCTGAAAGGTATGAAAAAGTGTCAATTGGTCTGTTTGTTTTTTTTGGTACGAATTTTCTGATATAGTAAAAGGAAGAATGATAGGTTATTTTTAAGGTCCTTCAAAAAAAATATTTCCTAATTTTTTGTATTAAATAAAAATGTTACTTTTTTAATCTTCATAAAAAATATTATGAAAAAAAACTTAATTTCTTCTAACGAAACTATTAATTTAATTAAAAATTTTAAAATTCTTATAAAATCTAATTATAAATAAGGAGTGTTGCCACCTCTTATATTAATTTACACGCCGACATCAATTCATCATATACTTAAAATTAAATTGTCAATGTCCTGCTGCTATATGAGGTCACATGTCCTTTACAATTGTGTTCATAAAGTTGTTGTTCCGTCGTCAAACTTGGCGGGAAACCTCTCAAAGCTTTATGTTGTAACTTATCAATACAACATAACATAATCGACAGTAACATAGTAACACAGTAACATATCCCAGGTAAAGTTGTTCAAAACGACTATAAATCAATAGCACGCTAGACTATAAACTATAAATTTCTAGCGCGCTATTAAATACGCTACGTTATAGTGCGCTATTTATAAGAAAGCGGCGTGTGGAAGGCCGGCAAGTGTTGCAGCACGCTAAATCTCGTAGCACGTTACATTACATGTCGTTCGTTGCATAGACCGCGTGCTATTATAAAAACATTATTACGTAATAGTCGCATTTAAGACTAAAATAAAATAAAACAGTGACAAAGAACCAATTGACACTTTTTCATACCTTTCAGGCTTACTACTGTCTATAATCAATGTAAACGTTATTTTAAGAGGATACCTTGAAAATGAATCGAAGTTTTGGGGGCGTGGTTTATTCCTTTGTCGGTGAAGCTAACGGACGACTGCGGGAGTGTCAAAATGAAAGTGATGCAATGGCTTCATAGTACTCAAATTATGAGATAGCCATACCGAGTAAGCGCTCGGAAAAAAACTAAGTAAGCGCCAAACAACATTTTTATTTATTTTAACCAAACTTCGTTATGTATTAAAAAACTGGTTTATGAAAATTTAGATATGATTATTTACTATGCCTTAAAAATTATTCCATTAAATTATTCTTAAGAATATTGTGGTGTCATCGAGAAATGTAAATAATTAACGCCCAATTTGCAATTTTTTTCTATCCAGAAAATTACATGATATCGTGCTTTCCTTTTATGCAATTCAAGATCATATAGTTAAAAATCATATACCAAAATTTTGGTTAGTAATCTATAAAACTTAAAAAAATATGTTCGAGGTATCACCGTAACCTTAATGTCAATTATAAATGAATCGTATTTAAAAATCTATTCTATTTACATTTAAAAACATAAGTTGTTACTTTTGTAGCAGATAAAAACAATGTTCTTCGTTCATTTATAAATATTCATACAGTATACACTAACTAAACCACTTCTAACACTTAATTAGGTCGCGCGCGATGAATAGCGTGCTACTAGATCAAATTTGCATCACACGTTCACTCCCAACAGCGCTGCTGCTAGAAATAGTTACCGCTAGATATTGATCGCGCCATAGCGTCATAACGCCATGGTGGCTACTTATATACATAGCACGCTCTATGCGCTATGGACAGATAGCCCGCTACAATATAGCGCTATGCGCTATATTAATTACCATTAGTCCCAGGCATGCTCGACAGGATTTAAGTAGGACGACTGTGCAGGCCAATCCAAAATTTGAATATCGTGGTCTCAGAGAGCGGCCGACACCAGCCGCGCCGTATGGGAAGGAGCATTATCGTGCATGAGTAGAAATTCCTGACCCATTTGGATTCTGTGTGGGACAATAACATACCCTACTACCTCCTCGTGGTATTTTTGTGCAGCATATTGCCTTAGATCCAAACGAGCTAGGTTAAATTAAAAAAGAAAAACTATCTAATCCCTTTTCTTTAATTAATATCAGTAGAACAATTTTCATTTCCCTTGATGTCACGAATTACTAATGTTGCGTGAATAAGTCAACGTCATACACTAGCGCCATCTAGTGTCAGGAACGAGAGCGAGGGGAGCTTTGCAGAAAATGACATCACAAATCTTTCAACCGACAGCGCCATCCGAAGAACTAAGTTTCTAGAAAATCTACACTCGAACACTCGTCGCTTTGCGCGCATTTACTTGAATATTCCGGATGCTTCATTGCTAATTTGTATATATAGGCGCTGCAAGATGCGATCGGGGCAGTATTGGATTTGGCGAGATAAGCGAAGCTTCGGAGCGGAATAAAGTGAATTAGTGTGTTTAATTATTAGTGTTTTAAGTTTTAATTTGTGTAAAGTAAATTATAGTGTTAATTTTGCCGCCGTAGTTTAATTTGTTTTTCTTTTTTTTTAATTTACATTTTTAAATATTGAAAATAGAATAAAAGAGGTTTCAATTTGTATATAAACTTTTTATGTAAACTAAAAAGATTTTAAACCATAAAGTCGTAAATAATTTAGGATTAAGGTATCCCTAGATTCGGATGATGTATTTATTTGTAATTGTTTCTTGAAAACTACTCTTAATTCTTTTCTCAGTAATAGGCTTTCCATGCTGAGAAGGCAGATTTATATACCTTTGCATGATCACGGATATGTTGCTGATTGGTTTTTACCAGACCCTCATTTGAAGAACTTGTTGGACAACTCCATTATTACTAATATTGTAAAATTAATAAGTGTAATTCCAAAAATGCGCATTATGAAAAACTTACCTTTTGGATTTAACACTCTCCCCACACCGTGTAAGATGCTGATTGTTTGATCTTTACCAAGTGACATAAATTTATTTGTTGCCTTTTTCTTTCTTGTTTTACCTTTTACTTTACTTTCTTTGACAATACTGGTTTCCAAATTATGATCTGTACCTATTGAGAATAAAAATGTAGAAAAAATAGCGATGAACAAAAATGAAAACAATTATTTTATGTCTTACCTTTTAAGCTTGCAAAATGCAGATTTAAAATTGCAGATCTAACATCGCCCGCTGATGAATTTACAACTGAATCTATGATATCTGTCGTTGGAATGTTGTACATTGTGGAATATTTTTTACTTATAATATCTGATACTCTTTTTAAAGCAGATCTCAAGCCTGTGACAGATACACTATTGAAGCTGTAAATTAACATTGCATATTAAAAACTAAGTGATATTCTCAATTTGCACAAACCATGTCTAGAAGGGTTTAAGAGGTAATATGCAAACTTTTTCTGCAATTTCCAGCACCACAGCGTTTACGGCAAAAAAGAATCCCTTTGTCTTGTCTACTCAATTTTAGGGCAATACACCTAGCTACCTCAACCAGCATTGGCATAATCTGCGTCTATATATCGAGTGACGTTCAGTTTCAGTTACTTGGAAGGTAAGCCAAAATTGGCCTCCAAAAGCTTACCTTACTTAGTAGAGCGGGACAATATTTCATGCTGTCACACTGTTTGCACCGTTACGAGGCGCAAGTTCAGCCTCACATGGAATACTGTTCTCATTTCTAAGCTGGAGCACACTGGTGCCAGTGAAGGGCCTTAATCTACCGAGTTTAGCACAGAGTTCACTGGAGATGCAAAGAGACGTAGTATTCCTTTGTATTTGCTTTCGCATTTACCACAACAAATGCTCAGTAGAATTGTTCAGATAAATTCAAGCTGCCAAATTTCACCATCGCTTTTTGCAACAAATTCACCGTATCATTCACACCATCTGAATGATTGACGGTCCACCACTGTGCGATTTATTAGGAGTTTTCTTCTTCTCAGAATTGGATACCACTAGCTATTTTTCTGGACCAATATGGCTTAGATACTTTCAAGAAAAGAGCCTACTCTTTTTAAAAGGTCGGTAATGCACCTTCGATTTCCCTGGTGTTCAGTTTTTCATGAGCGGCGGTAATCACCATCAAATGAGCCGCATGTTCGTTTCACATGCACGCTCTACCCATAAAAACACCTCGGCTCAGAAACTGGTGACAGATTGCATTGGACATAGATAGCACTTTCAATGCAAAAAGGTCAGTTCTGCACTTGTCAAGCACATCTTTCAAGTAATATATTGCTGCTAGCATGTTCCTGAAATGTCGATGGTGAATAAAATCTTTGCTGTTTGTGTATCTAAGTCATATAATTTTTTCCAGATTGTATATATCATTATGGAAAACAATCTTTTAACTTTATTAGTTTGATTAATTTGGTAGGGCCCCAAGTAGAGTTAGCCCAAATTCACGGTCCACCCTTGACTAAATCAATCCAATTATCTGAAATCTGTTTATTGATAAAAATAAGGGTTTTCAGTGATGAAAATAATTCCTCACCAAGGATGGATAGGTGTTTACCAACCATACAGCTGCTAACCTTAAAGTTGATCAGATAATCATGTGATAACTCATGATTCGGTCTTCATCAGCTCTTAAGTTACTACTGGACATGACCCTCGTTCCGTTGTTGGGAGAAATTGGCTAAACCGTACCTTGTTGACTGCAGTACAAGATATCTTGCCTGGACCCAGCTGCCATCATCGGTCTGAGTATTACACCTGGCATACATTGATGGTTATTCTGCCATCTATTAGCAGCCTCAAGTTTTCCAAAATTAACAAGTCTTCTCTTAAGACACACATTGAGTAAAATGTTGTAATTGCATCACCATCGCATGTGTAATAGAAATAAATTAGAAAATACCTGTACCATGGTGATTCAATTGAATCCACTACCCCATACCATACCGTGGGTGTTGTTAAAGGCTACAGAGATAAAAAATTGCAGTCGCCAACATGCTTGCCAAACATGGCAACTATGGCATATTACATTATTAAGAATGTATAACAAAAAGTTAGTTTCAAAAAAAATATACTCTATTTCCCTAGATTACACTTTAAAATTATGGTGGTTATTGCATCCAGCCTGATCTCCCGTAGATACTAATGTTTTATCTAAGATTTTGTCTAGTTAAAAGCTCATATGATATTTGTTAGTTAAGTCTTACAAATATTTTATTTAGGCACAGAGCTAGAAAAAAGCTTTAATAATACTTACACAATATGTTGTATGAGAAACTGTTCTTTTAGAGATGTTGTAAATATGTTTACTGCTGCATTTTTATTGTCTGTATTAGTCTCTGAACAGATGAATACAATTGGAGACTTTGCTCTTTGAGTATATTGCCTAAAAGGAAATCATGATATATATATATATATACATATATATATATATATATATATATATATATATATATATAAATTACGTGTCACGTTGTTTGTCCGCGATGGACTCCTAAACTACTTAACCGATTTTCATAAAATTTGCACACCGTGTGTAGTTTGGTCCAACTTGAGAGATAGGATAGTTTTTTTGCCCATGAGTCACCCACATTCTTTTGCGTTTTTAAGGATTTTTCATGACACAGGATCGTCGAAAAGGGCAGAACAACATCTGCCTGGCAAGCTAGTATATTATTTATTTATATATATATATATGTGTGTGTGTGTGTGTTTCTAAACAGGTTATGTAAACAATAGAATACCTATTATTTTAAATATATTTTTACAAATTAGGATATTAAAGGTGATTATTTTATTACAACTCACTGTAAAATGTTAGAAAATTCTGATGGTGTTCTTAAGAATGTATTAGGGAAGTCTTCAACTAACACCAATTTATTGCTATTATTATCTAATAAAGATGTAAAATTGGCAGCACTTATTATAAAGTCCAAAAACTTTTTTGATTGTTTTTCTTTGAACTCATATTCACCTGAAACCAAAATTACAAATCAGGGTAAATTCATAAAAGCCATACAATGCAACCATATAAAACTATGAACTTTACCATAATCTGTTGGTAACTCTATATCTATAGGCGTTATCCATTCTGTGATTTTTACATTATATTTATCTGCTAATGTACGTACTGTAGCAGTTTTTCCACATCCTACAGGCCCACTTATAAGAAGTATGTTGCAAGTGTTCTTACAACTGTCTTTTATCCAATTCTCAACTTCCTGTATCTTTTTGTTATGTACTGCTAAATCTTCTATATTAACTGGATCAAAATTTTTCATCCAATTTTTGTGGTTAATAGTAGGCATCTTAAAATTTGCATTTCCATTTGAACCAAGTGACTTCTGTTGACAAGTTTCGATATAAACATAAATTTAATCACATAAAAGTCTATTGTTACCATTACTTTTTGTTTCAAGAGTATAACTTTTATTCGGAAACATGTATCACTATTAATTCCTAAACGTGGGTTTGACCACAAATATGTAAGTTCTGTAAGTATCTTGCATACTTTTTTTCTAGTTTAGCAACTATCAATGGATTTCTGTCAGTATTAAGTATGCATAAAAGTTACACAGTGTATCAGACTAAAGTTTGCTACAAAGTTTATGTAGATGGGTTTTCTTTTTCCAATTTAAGGTCATAAGTTGTTTTTGTTGGAATTAATAGATATTTTTAAAAAATACTCTACCTTAGTGTTACTAATGGATATAAAATCAAATAGTTTGTACAAAAGGAGTGTAAACTAAATGTAAAAAACTTAAAATTTACAGGATGGACGATGTTATTAGGAAGAAAATTATTAGGGATGCTGCAAATAGTTGTTAAAGCAAATAGTCGAATGCCGATTAATCGCCATTCTCCGTGGCGAATAGCCAAATAGCCCTTATTATTCGACATAAAAAGGAATGTGAGAAAGAATGTATTTGTTATCAAATAATAATATCACGCTTGTAATGGTGTTGAACTTACAAATCTAAAAATTTTCTAAGGTTATGAGAAAACAAAACACTGAAATTAAACAAATCAGTCTTTTGATTTTACATTTTTAAATGCTGGCAGATTGCTTTCTTGTACCTATTTAATAAAAGTTTAATTATTTTTAAGTCTAAAGTTTTTTTGTTTTTTACAACTTTTCGCCGCAATATTCGGCGAAATATATGTAAGTATGTATGTATTATTCGGTATTCAATGAACAACAAAAAAATCGAGTAAAGCCGAATATCGAATAATAGCTAAAAATTATATAGGGAATATGAGAGATTGGAGCAGTTAAAAAAATTTATGATTAATCATACCTTAGCTAAGACCACACTCACAAATTAAGCTGTCTCAAATCTTAAGTTTTACATCTTAAGTATAAAATGTAGGTGTATAACATAATATTGAACTATGTATATAATCAGTGAACTATCTTTTGAAACATTTCAATTTTCAATTAGGTACATAATGCATTCACTCAATTTGACATCTAACGGACTTTGGCAAGGAAAAAAGGTCATAAGTATAGGTTGTGTAACATAAGGGTAATATTCAATATGGTAAAGAAAGTAATATTCAATATGGTAGATGCTTATTTTGCCTAGCAATTGAGAGAATCGTTGTCACATAGGTATGCAACTAAAAACAAAGCATCCTGTGAATTCTCCCATGCATAAGATATATTTAATCAGCTTAGCACCAGCACCAGTTGTCGAGCGACCCCTTGTGAAACCGAATTGATTTTTATGAAGTAAATTATTTACATAATTTTTTTTTACATTTGATTAAGAATAATTTTTTCAAAAATTTTACTAAGTTTTGGCAGTACAGAAATAGGTCTAAAATTAGCGGGATCCAACGTACTACCAGATTTAAATAAAAGTATTACTTTACTATGCTTCATTAAATCAGGAAACACACCAGATTCGATACTAGTATTAAAAATAATAGATAGTTGAGGTGTGATTGTATCTATCATAGACGCAATAACTTTAACAGAAATCCCCCACAGATCGGCGGTTCTCTTAATATCAATAGTCTTAAAATATTTTACAATATCTTTCGATGACACTTTATGGAATGTAAAATTCTTTGTACACGCATTTACATTTTGTTTAAGTAATGATTCGGCGACGGCAGGAGAAGAATTCAGTGACTTAGTGGTTAAGATCGGAATATCAGTAAAATATTTCTCAAAAACCATTGCAACATCCTGATCTGATTTATTTAATTTATTGTTAAAACTTAACTGGTAGTTTGAATTGCGAGAGTTAACCTTACCAGTTTCACTATTATTTAAATTCCATGTCATTTTAATTTTATTAGGAGCAGTCTTTATTTTGTTGCTCAAATACAATGACTTGGCTATGGAGCACACTCTTTTAAATATTTTGGAACATTTTTTTACATATTCCCTAAATTCGACGCTAGGATTATATGACCTTTCATTGTAAAGTTCACATAACCTTTGTCTACTCTTATAGACTCCTACTGTCGCCCATTCATTAAATTCCTTGCGATTGTTCAGGGAGAATGTTTTAGAAGTGAAAGTATTATTAAATTCATTGCAAATAAGCTTAAATAATGTCCCATACAAAAAAATCTGGATTATTTTGGTATGAAAGTAATGGAATTTTTTTTACTATGTTACTTCTAAACTTCTTCAAGCGACATGCATTTACTGGAACAAACACTACTTTTTTATCTACTTGCTTTTTGTGAACATAAGGTAACGAAACTAATTGTCCACAGTGATCAGAGCTCAATTTTTGAATCCTGCATTTATTGAACGGCTTAACATTTGTAAAAATGTTATTTATACATGTTACTAAAAAGACCATAAGACTTAAACAATGATCTAAATTTAATATTGGTGGAGGAAGCTTCTAGGAGATTGATATTAAAGTCTCCACATATTACAACAGATTTATTCTGTTTATTAAGCTTAACGAAAACTTGCTCCATAATTTTTCCAAAAGTATCATATAAAGAACATGGGGGTCTGTAAACGCTCACAATAATGAGGTGCTCAAACTCAACACATGCCATTTCTACAGTTCACTCAACAGAGAGGCTCACAATATCCTTACGTTCTTTACATGATAATAATTTACTAGCAAAAATTAAGGATCCACCTCTTAAAACCGTTTCTTTATTGAAAGAACTGATTTAATAATTTACTATATACAGACTAAACCTAAAATATATAGACTAAAACATCTACACAGTGCATCTTTTATTTTAAAAATAATTAGGTATTTCGATTTACTTTGGGATGGGTTAGACAAAATGCTTTGTAGTGAACCATAAGAGTCAGTGAAAACAATACATTTGATAATATTGTGAATAAACTTACTAAGAAAAAAGACACTTCAAGACAATACATGGATATTTTTAATAATAATATGAACAATTAAAAAAGTACTAACCACCTTAAAATGCAGTTAATATCATATTGTTTGTCATTTATTCCACATTGATTCTAAATTTAAATAAAAGAAAATATAAATGTATTGGTAGAAAAAATTGAATTGAACTAGAGGGAGCAAATTTTGTATGTGAATTTTTAATATTTGAGCAATTGTTTTTTTTTTTAATACTACTTATGCTATTAGCATTACTAATATTGCCTTTAACCACTCCTGGTAAGCTTAAGATACTTGTGTTAGGAGTGGTTCACGAAAGTAATCAAATGGTGAATTTGATTCCATAACCTTTTAAGTTTGCTCTCCGCACCCTGCCATTGGGCTACTGTCGTTGCCGCTGTTTTCATTATGTTGAAAACCGCTATTTAAACATTATTTTCATTCAACTTGGGTTAATTGCGTTAATTTGACATTTTATTGCAATGCACCATCGATATTTAACTGAAGAGAAGTTAAAAGCAGTGGGAATGCTGCAGGTTAGTGCCTTTCAATGTGACGTCACTGCGGCAATAAATACCAGGCAAAATATGATTTCGAAATTATCACACTATCCTGCCACACAGTAGGTGGCGGGGAGACATCCCAGACCATGCTGGATATTTTTAATACCCCAGACAAGATAGGTTTTTGAAAATTGTTGCGAGAAAGCAACTCAATGTTACGGTGATGCAATTGGTCCAAAGGCTACAGTCGTAACACCAGGTGCTTGTGAGTGACCAAACCGTGAGGAAAAGACTACATGAAGCCAACTGTCATGCTCGTAAAACACCTTGGGTTCCAGCTCTAAGAGAAAATGGTGGACAAAGACGGCAATGGGCTAAAGAACATGTGAACCTCAAAAATGGACAGGGTTGCCTTTCACCAATGAATCCCTATTGGGTTTTCATTGCGATTAGATAAGTATGTGTTTAGATAGTTCCTGGTCATACAAGCCGACTTCAACACCTTCAAAAAGTTCATCCAAAGTTGCGCAAATAGCAAAGTGGTACAATTATAGTGTGGACAAGAATTCATTTTGGTGGAATAACGGACCTCATTTGAATACTATGATAGCTGAAAAATACCATAATGAGGTACTAGAACAAATAGTTTTGAAAAATTGAACACTAATGGGTCAAAATTTTCTACTTATGCATGTCAATACTAATTCACATATGGCTTGGGTGATGACAGCCTGGTTGCACAAACATGATATCACAGCCCTAGAACGGCCAACACAATCCTCAGATTTAAATCCCAGAGAGCATGCTCTAAATATGCACCAAAAAGGGCTTTAAGGGATTTTCCTGAAAATTTAGTTACAGATGAACAACTTTTGATGCATCTCAGTAGAGCCTCGGACAATATCCTCAACAGGATATTGACAACCTCATTCTGAGCATGCATAACCGAAGCAGATGCATTATGAATGTCATGGGTGCTTTTACGATTATTAACTCTTAATTAATATCAGCTCTTTAAAGATTTTTACTCTAGGTACGTTATTTTTAATTTAAAAATTACGCTTTTATGATGTACCGTTATCACAGTTGCCAATTTTTTCTCTGCATAAAAATTTAAAATCTCATTTTAAAGTCAATGTTTATATTAAGAAATGGTGGATTATTAAATAAAATTTTCTTGATTAAATACATGCCTAATACTATTGCCATACTATTGAAATTCAAGTGTTGTTAAATTATCCCTATACTGTGTTGATGTGCTGCTTTACCAGTAAAAATTGAATAGGCAAATGGAATGTTTGAAATAAAGAATAATTTTAAATTTCGGTATCCAGAATTCTTAAAAATGTAAATACCTCCTCGTATACCTTCCGCTTTTTCTCCGGAATATTCTTAGACTCTTTTGGTGTTTCATTTTCGATATCAAATACAGGTTTAAACCACTTTTTGCCCTGTAAAAGTAACAATAAGAGTTTCAATGTCGTAGAATAATAGGACTGAACCTAGGTGGTGAATATAAATCTTTTTAAACTGCTGATAAGTAAAATATTAAATTACTTTTTGCATTTTTTTTTTCAAAATTCAAAACAAATAACAAAGTGAAAATCTCACATCACAGACGTCACAGACTAGCTAGTACACAGACATAGCTTACTGTGTATATCTATCTCGGAGTAATTACGAGCATAGAGAGAGACCTAAAATAGGAACAAAATTCATAAAGCTGACGTTTAACATAGTACAAAATAAGATAGCTATATTAATCTCACCTTTCTTTTACAAGGCGGTTGCCGTTTTTGCATTCCGTAGATACCTCTATATAAGTGCCATTAGCGAAATAAAAAACGTTGACTATAAATTCATTTAGTCTGTGACTTAGATAATATTATATAATATAATATATAATTATAGCCGTGGTAGCTCACCCGGGTTCGATCCCCACCGGCACCAATGAAATTGTTAATTGCAATTTTAAGTGCTGATTTACCACGTGCTCGGCGGTGAAGGAAAGCATCGTGAGGAAACCTGCATGTCTGAGAAATAAGAAAAAATATTTCGAAAACATGTGAAGTTCGCCAACACGTACTGGGGCAGCGCGGCAGACACTTCCTTGCCCTAAAACCCTCTCAGAAATGAGGGGAGGCCTGTGCCAAGCTGTGGGACGTATATAGGCTGTAACTTTACTTTACTTTTAGTAAAATTAAGAATTTTTTTTAATTTGGTCCATAATACTTATTTATATCAACGGAAGTATATGGAAGCTTCATCTGACATCTTACAACGAAACTTAGTTGAATAATGCAGAATTTCGTAGTATCTTTCCATAATTTAAAATATATCGTGAAAAGTTCACTATGAAATCTACTTCAATTCAGCCGATATATTTGTATATGCCAAATTATCCTTAGACTTACATAGGCTGCACTAAAAGTAGGTATATTTCCACTGTTCCTGTCATATTTAAATCTTTTTAATTGAAAACTCCTGGGTTTTAAAAATCGAATACCATTTATTTATTTAAAAAAAGATTCTCGGTCTTGTCACAAAGTTTTGTCAAACTTGTTTGGTCGTTGAGAAAATGGAATTGACTCGAGAAAATTCAATAGCGATGATTTATTATGAGAAAAATTTTTGAGAAAAAAATTTATGAGAAAAATTCAAGAGCGATGATTTATTATGCCCCGTGTAGTGGCGGTCAAGAATATCCACTACCCCATATCTTCCCGTGGGTGTCGTAAGAGGCGACAGAGGGAGACAGGCAGGAGATGGGCAGCAGCATCTTCCTGATAACAGCAACTGTACGACAAAAAAAAACTGCGGTTGCCAACCCGCTCGCCAAGCGTGGCAACTATGGCAATATACCCCCCATGAACAATTACACAAATAGACGGCCCCCAGTCCCCGGCGGCCCCGCTATTCCTGGCTACGGTGGCGACCATGGTAACGGCGGGGCGGGGGGTGCTAAGAATCTCCGGTGGAGGTTCGGTTGCCACCTACGACGACTCGACCTGGCAACATTTAACGCACGCACACTGAGGACTGACGAGAAGATCCTGGAGCTGGAAGAAGAGATAGACAAGTTGCGCTGGAGTATTATAGGATTATCCGAGGTCCGAAGAGAGGGGGAGGACACGGTGATTCTCGAATCCGGCAACTTGTTCTATCACCGGGAGGGCGACCATCTGTCCCAAGGAGGTGTCGGATTTATCGTCCACAAGTCTCTCGTCAACAACGTTGTGCAGATTTAGAGTATGTCGACGAGGGTCGCGTACCTGATACTCAGAATCACCAAACGGTATTCGCTGAAGGTCATACAGGTTTACGCACCAACGTCGGCACATTCCGATGAGGAGGTGGAGGAAATGTATGAGGATATTTCCAAAGCCATACATTCCTCCAAAACCCACTACACGGTGTTGATGGGAGACTTCAACGCAAAACTAGGCACAAGAGAAAACGGTGAGCTGAAGTTAGGGAAATTTGGAGTAGGGCAACGGAACCGAAGGGGCCAGCAGCTGGCCGACTTTATGGAGAAAGAGGGACTCTTTATGATGAACTCTTTCTTCGAGAAGCGGCCCCACAGGAAGTGGACCTGGTCGAGCCCCGACGGTTCGACAAAAAATGAGATTGACTTTATTATGACGACCAGACGCCAACTGTTCAGTGATGTCTCAGTGATCGCAAGGGTGAAAACTGGCAGCGATCACCGAATGGTTAGAGGCACACTGAACCTAAACGTTAAGTTGGAGAGGTCTCGTCTAATGAAGTCAACGCTCCGTCCCCCCTCGTGCTCTGATCCAAAATCCCGAAAACTTTCAGCTCGAGTTACACAACCGCTTTCAGTGCCTACAAGATTGCAATGCAGTGGACGATATGAATGACGAGCTCGTGGAAACTGTCCATGCGGTCGGAGCTAAGTTCTGCAAGACCCGCCGCAGAAGAACACAAAAACTCTCCGATCACACTCTTAATCTCATGGCTGTTAGACGGGAGATGAGGCTGCAATCGTCAACAGATTTGACAGCATACAGGCAACTGAACAGACAGATCTCCAAATGCATGCGGCGAGACTTACGCAACTTTAATACTGCTCGTATTAAAGAAGCGATCGAGCGGAACCAGGGCTCCAAAGTCTTTGCCAGAGATCTGTCTGCCAGAAAGAGCCAACTGTCAAGGCTGAAGACTGAGTGTGGCAGCATCGTTTCCGGGACACCTGAGATTTTGAGTGAGATTGAGAGGTTCTATGGGCAGCTGTACACATCATCGTTGGAGCCACACGCAAGTGTGAGTAACGATCCAAGAGCAAGTCTTATCCGACACTATTCCGATGATATCCCGGACGTCAGTCTAAGCGAGATTAGAATGGCTCTCCAGCACCTTAAAAACGGCAGGGCCCCAGGCGAGGATGGAATTACAGCGGAGCTTCTGAAAGCGGGTGGAACACCGGTACTTGAAGTCCTTCAGAAGCTCTTCAATTCCGTCCTCCATGGTGGCACTACTCCAGAGGCGTGGAGCAGAAGTGCGGTGATCTTGTTCTTTAAGAAAGGCGACAACGCTCTCTTGAAGAACTACAGACCGATTTCCCTTCTGAGCCGCGTCTACGTGCTGTTTTCGAGAGTCATTACGAATCGTCTCGCACGCAGACTCGACGACTTCCAGCCTCCCGAACAAGCCGGTTTCCGAAAAGGCTTCAGTACCATAGACCACATACATACCCTGCGGCAGATTGTACAGAAGACTGAAGAGTACAATTTGCCACTTTGCCTGGCGTATGTGGACTATGAGAAAGCCTTTGATTCCGTCGAAATTTGGGCGGTGCTGCAGTCCCTTCAGCGGTGCCAAGTTGACTGTCGGTATATCGAAGTGCTGAAGTGTTTGTACAGTAGGGCTACGATGGCTATCCGAGTACAGAACCAGAGCTCGAAACCTATCCAACTGCAGAGAGGTGTAAGACAGGGTGACGTTATATCCCCGAAACTCTTCACCGCTGCTTTGGAAGACGTTTTCAAGCTACTGGACTGGAAAGGATACGGTATTAACATCAATGGCGAGTACATCACTCACCTCCGATTTGCCGACGATATAGTCCTTATGGCAGAATCGCTGGAGGACTTAAGCACTATGCTCAATGACCTCAATAGTGCCTCCCAACGGATAGGTCTTAAGATGAACATGGACAAAACAAAGATTATGTTTAATGTCCATGTCACACCTATGCCGGTAGTTGTTGGGAGCACTATGCTCGAAGTTGTTGACGAGTACGTTTACCTGGGACAAATATTCCGACTAGGTAAGTCCAACTTCGACCGAGAGGTCAATCGACGGATTCAACTCGGCTGGGCAGCGTTCGGGAAATTACGACATATCTTCTCGTCAGGTATACCTCAATCTCTGAAAACTAAAGTGTACAACCAGTGCGTGTTGCCAGTGATGACTTACGGATCAGAGACGTGGTCCTTCACTGCTGGCCGTATGAGGACGCTCAAGGTCGCTCAGCGAGCTATGGAGAGGGCTATGCTCGGAGTTTCTCTGCGTGATAGACTCAGAAATGAGGATATCCGCAGTAAAACCAGATTGACCGACATAGCCCAACGGATTAGTAAGCTGAAGTGGCAATGGGCCGGCCATATAGCTTGAAGAACCGATAACCGATGGGGAAGAAAGGTTCTCGAGTGGCAGCCTCGTACCGGTAGGCGTAGTGTAGGGCGACCCCCACTAGATGGAGTGACGACCTGGTAAGATATGCAGGAAGTCGATGGATGCAGGTGGCTCAGGACCGTGCTTTGTGGCATTACTTGGGGGAGGCCTATGTTCAGCAGTGGACTTGTGAAGGGCTGTGATGATGATGATGATGATGATGATTTATTATGACTTTCGAAGTGGTTTAACACAAAAACAGTGTGTTGACCGGCTGATTTCTGCATTTGGTGATGAAGCCCCATCCAAAAGACAATTTATCGCTGGTTTGCTGAATTTCAACGTGGACTTGTCAAGCTCAGTGATGATCCCCGTCAAGGTCGTCCAAAAACTGCAGTCACCCAAGAAAACGTTGATGCTGTGCGTAAGCTGATTGAGGAAGATCGACATGTGACATACCGCGAAATTCAGGCAACTTTAGACATTAGCATGAGTCAAATACAAATAATCTTGCATGAACAATTAGGTGTAAAAAAGTTGTTTTCCCGATGGATACCGCATTCGCTCTGTGAAGAGCAAAAAGCGGCTCGCGTTACTTGGTGCGTCAGAACTCTCGAAAGATTCCACGCAGGATCCTCAAATGCTGTATACAATATCGTATCAGGTGACGAATCCTGGAATACGCGTACGAACCCGAAACATAAAAACCAGTCACGAGTTTGGGTGTTCGAAAATGAGTTAAAGCCAACAAAAATTGTTCGTTCACGGAGTGTTGCAAAAAAAAAATAGTGGCCACGTTTGTCTCCGAAACCGGCCGTGTTACGACTATTCCTCTTGAGGGATAAAGAACGGTTTATGCAGAATGGTATGCTAGCATTTGTTTGCCACAGGTCGTTTTTGATCTCTGTAAAGAGAACTGCAACCGCCGC